TCCAACCCCTCCTCTCATTCCTGACTGCCCCCGGAACCTCTGCCACTGACTGCCTCCTGTCGCCCCATCCAAACCCCTCCTCTCCTTCCTCGACCTCCCCCCCGGATCTTTGCCCCACCCAACCACCCCTTCTCCCTGACCGCCCCCTGGAACCCATGCCCCCCATTCAACCCCCCCTGTTCCCCGCCCTCTGACCGCCTCCACCCCTATCCACACCCCCATCCCCTGACCACTCCCCGAACTAACCTGTCCTCCATCCATCCCCTCTCCCCTGCTTCCTGCCCCCTTACCACACTGCCTGGAGCACCGGTGGCTGGCGGTGCAGCTACACCATGAAAGGCAGCCACGCTGCCCGGCTGGAGCCAGCCGTGCAGTACAGAACACCGGGTCAGGCCGGGCTCTGCAGCTGCACTGCCCCTGGAGCTCACAGTCCCGCCACCCAGAGCATTGCACCGGTGGTGCAGTGAGCTGAGGCTGCGGGGGAGGGGGAACAGCAGGGGAGGGGCTGGGGGCTAGCCTCCTGGGCCAGGAGCTCAGGGGCCGGGGAGAACGGTCCTGCCGGCCAGATGTGGCCTCCGGGCCATAGTTTGCCCACCTCTGCCATAGACCATCGTGTTACTCAATGCTCATTTTATTTCTTCTCTGAAAGTCATTTGTAAATTGGGTTTGAGACCTTTATTTTCACTATTAGTGCAAAGGACTTGTCCAATATTTGAACCAGCAATTTTCCCAAATCAAAGTCAGAAATATATCACTAAGGGCTTGTCTACACTACCGCACGGGGTCTATCTAAGATACGCAACTTCAGCTATGTGAATGTAAATGTTTTCCTGGCTAATAAATATTTTACAAAATGTTTCTCATGAGGCACTATTTCTTTGCTAGACTTACAATAGTGGCACTGGGAGAAAAACTTAATGATTACTGGAATGAAATGAAAGCAAAGAAAAATGAAGAATATCCTCTAGATTTGCCAGTAGAGGATCTACAGTAAGTAAGATGTCTCTAAAGCTATAATGTAAAGGCCTCAATACTAGAATACATGCATGTTAGTTTCTCTACTCCTACATGATATTGCATGGGGGCGGAGGAAACATTTTCATATGAATGTTTTGATGTTTCTTTACAGAAAACGACCTGATCAGACATGGGTTCAATGCGATTCATGTCTGAAGTGGCGGAAGCTTCCAGATGGGATAGATCGCTTGCCAGAGAAGTGGTACTGTTCGTTGAATCCTGATCCACAGTTCAGGTAAAGTAGGATCTGGAGGAATATCTAGATGCTATTGCATGTTTTACTTTTCTCAGATGATTAGAGCACCATTTGTCTCAATACTTTACTTTTAATCAGGAATTGCAGTGTACCAGAAGAACCTGAAGATGATGACCTAATACATCCAACATATGAGAAAACATGTAAGAAAAAGTGAGTACCAAAGACTTGTGTGTGAAAAGATGTACCTATTATAGAATAGAAATATGAGAAGTAAAACACCTTTAAGTTTTTAACTTACCCACTGTTTGGGGGATATTACCAAGTTACAGCATGGTTTGTGCCCTAAAAGAGCAGACCAAACCATTGTATGGGAACAGTGCTACAGTGTTATAAATGTCATATATAATCTCACCTTTTAGCATGGACTGATGCAGAAATTCTCAAATTGTTCTGTGGACCACTGGTGTCATTTTTGTTTTTGACTGCTGATCACATGACGCTCTCTCCTTTTTTCCAGTTGCTAAATTAATACATATTTAGCTGTCAGTGTAAATACTCTCATAGGGTAATATTATTAGAACAATTGCTGGCATTGGCTCAGGGATGTTGCATAATTTTGAATGGGAAGACACTCTAAGGTGTGATGCAGGCTACATAACGTGAGGATCCCTGCTCTAGCCTACACATACAGTTGGGTGTAACCAACTACCCCAACACAGTAGTAATTTGAGCATGAACAGGACCTTAATTGACAGTTCAGGAAGTCTATTGTTTTGAGTACTGATGAAAAGGGTTAGCTTAAAAAGGATTATTTACAGTGGTTCAAATCTGACGAGTAATTGAGGTTATGCTAATTTTAACTCCTAATAGCCTTCATGCTTAAATTATATTCAGTAATTCAGAATGTTAGTGAAAACTGTTATTCTTTTAATCTTTGAAAGGTGAAGAGTATTGTATTTGTTTTAAGCTAGAAATTGATTTTTACAGTGAATTATATTTTGATTTAAACTTTTTCTTCCCCAATGTATAAAGAGACAGGGAAAAACTAAGGAGGCGACTGGAGTACAGCCAACAGGTAACTGTCTCTCTCAATCTTGATTTGCTCTTGAATTTGGTAGTTTTGGCTGTAAATGCACCTGAATGATGATTTTCCAGATGTAATTCATTTAAGAATATACATACAGTATATTGGACTGTAGCCGCTAATGTGCATTTAGTGAAAGCTGTAAATTCAAAACTCTATATGTACACTTCAGAAGGTTGGGATATTTTTTTCCATCTGAGTGTCTGATTTTGTTTGGTGAGAGGATATAAGGGAGATTACTCAAACTACTTTGTAATGCATTTAAATATTTTTACATAACATTCTGAAAGGGACTTCAAACATAATTTACACAACACTATAATATTTTTAAATATGCATTTTGTTTTACTAGTACATTTTTTAAAGGCAATGAGCCTGCTGCTCTTATTTAGAAGATGTGTAAACAAATATACACACTTCTCATATTTAATGTTTTTATATATGCAAGTGCACACATACTGATATCTGATCACATTACGCTTGTTTAAGAAGCCATATACTATTTGATCAAATTAAGGTATTTAAAACAGCATTGAGAGACTCTGTTATGTGTCTTCTAGGTTCAACTTGCTTAATTTACAAGTAAGAATTTTTTTAAATTGTCAGTCCTGCAAATTCAACCTCAGATCTGTATCATTGCTAGCAATAGAGGTTCTGCTGGCCAAATTCTACTTTCCATTCTGCATAGACAACATCTTCAGTGGGGTTTTACCTATAAAAACTATTTGCAGAATTTGTCCTTTATTTTGAACTAGGCCAGTGGTTCTCAACCTGTGTCCTGTGGCCCCCTTGCGACCCAATCAGCACACAGCTGCGGCCCATATTACATCCTCAGAGCCATACTGTGTGTGTGTGTGTGTCTAATATATATAGTGTGGATGTGGCCCACATAACACACAGCGAGCTACATATGTGGCCCACAATGGTAAATAGGTTGAGAACCACTGATCTAGACCATCCCTTACAGGTGTTTGTCTAACCTGCTCTTAAAAATTTCCAATGACGAAGATTCCACAACTTCCGTAGGCAGCTTATTCCAGTGCTTAATTATCCTGACAGGAAATTTTTCCTAATGTCCAATCTAAACTGCCCATCTAGTGCCCCATCACTGTCTGTTGGGGATATTTGCTGCTAGTGGTATTTGCTGCTCTATAACCCCCAAATAAGCAATATGCCATTGTAGGCAGCCTCATCATACCATTCCCTCTATAAACTTATCAAGCTCAGTCTTGAAACCAGTTAGATTTTTTGGCCCCACTGCTCCCCTAGTAAAGCTATTCCAGAACTTGAGTTCCCTGATGATTAGAAACCTTCGTCTAATTTCAATCCTGAACTTGCTGATGGCCTCTTCTCTCCTCTTGGCTTTCTCCAATTTGTCCACCTCTTTCCTGAAATGTGGTGACCAGAACTGGACAAAATGCTCGTTGAGGCCTTATCAGCATGAAGTAGAGTGGAAGAATTACTTTTTGTATCTTGCTTACAACACTCCTGCTAATACATCCCAGAATGATGATGGGGGTTTTTTTTGCAACACTGCAGACTCTCATTTAGCTTGCGATCCACTATAAGCCCCAGATCTCTTTCTGCAGTACTTCCTTCCTACTCAGTCATTTTTCCATTTTGTATGTGTGTAACTGATTGTTCCTTCTTAAGTGGAGTACTTTGCCTTTGTCCAATTTCATTCTGTTTGTCGTGTGAAATAGCAATTTCCTGCAGTACCCTGGAAAAACATTATTGGATTAAGTTTAGCCTTATTGTATTAAGTTTATATATCATTGTGGGCCAGGGATTGTATGAAATTCCATGGGGATGGGGGGAGGGAGGGGACTACAGCCATCCAGGAGCTAAGAGGGGGTGATTAGGTAAATTAACTCAGGTTGCAACACACCTCTCGAAAGGTACAGGCTTGAATATACTGGTTCAAACTGGGTTCTCTGGAGACCTGCAAACAAAGAAAGATCTTCTGTACTACTTGAGTTTAAACTGATGCAGGACTTTCTGTCCAAGGGGAGACGCAGTCCTTCCTGAGAATGGTTTTATGTGGAAGGACTTGACCTATTTGTGGATGTGCTTGTTCTGAGTTAACAGCTCTCAGTCCTTATAGAAAAACCCTTATGTAGGGTTTGAAGGATTGACTCCTACCGTGCCTCCCAATAAATGCCTTGTCTACATTCCACTACTTTTGTTCTTTTTTTATATTGGTATTTGTTTTATTTGCATTATATTTTTGTTTTGTGTACCTTTTAAAAGTTCATTATTTAGCAACTCATTTAAAACTCATTATAGCAGTTATAATTATTTAAATTACTATTTAATAATAGCTTAAAGCACAAACCAGGGGGTGCAAGATTATTTTTATGGAATAGCCTACTAGGGTATAATACATTATAAGCTTGATTTGCCTTTAAAGCATTTTTTGTCATTTTAATTTTTCTTTTCTTTAATTATATTATAAACTGGTTCAAAATATTTATTACTACAGGTAATTTAGGTGTGAAACAGAACATAGACCAATTAAAGTAACGTTTTCTGCATTTATACTAGAAGCGGGGTTTTTTAGCCACTACACAATAATTATCATTAGCATACAGTTTTTACTTTACTAGCGTCAGTGTTTCAGCCATACTGTGCAATTTGAAGACGGTTTCCCCAAAGCAAATCCACATACTGGCAACTCTGTCTGTAAGACTTTACAGCTGCACACGTAAGTGTCTCCCAGGTGCGAACAGCAGTACAAGCCTGGGGCTTTCCCGATCTTGCACTGTCTTGCAACAGAGGGAAAACAATTTTTTCCACACCATATGGGTTTCAGTGGTTTTACATTTAAGTTCATGGAATTGGATCCTTGTTAATTTTTTTGCACTGCACCAACTGGAATCTTTCTTGTACAAAATGTTAACTTGTTTGTGGTAAGAAGGCTGCATATAACTTTCTTGCTGCATATAACTTAGTCACTTTTACTTTGTATAGCTTGTATATCCCCCACGTACATGTTATTAGCACACATTGACTTAATTCCATACTTCCTTAAAACAATTACAAGATCACATATGTTATATACAGTTAACAAAGCTTCATGAATGAGTTATAGGTTTTGCTTATTTAATGGATATAGTACTTTTGCTGCTATCTACTGTCAAAGGGCTTGATTGTTTCCACAGCATCTCTTAGCAAAATAGTGATTTCAAACAGTCTAGTGCCAGTCCTGTTAAGTTTCTCTCAGTGTAGTTGCCCCCCCAACCTTAGCACTCTTACACATTAAAGTATACATTTTTGTCTAGAAAATCCTTTTAATGGTGGTTAAGCATATTTTACCTATTTTTAGTGAGCACAGTTCTTTACGGTAATTGCAGATTGGTAATATTAATAACACAGACGCGTACAAAGATGTTCAGTTTATTTATAATATTTCCTAAACCATTTGAACCTGTTTCCAGTCTAGGACATTTTAATCTTTATTTCCAGAACTCCACCGTATGATTTTTGTGTTTACTCCCTTAGTAACATGTATTTTTACATCATACTGAAACAGAACTTTTGGATAGGATTTCAGTGGTTGGATGTTTTTTATAGTGTTTTTGAATGGGCACTGCACCATTCAAAGTAGCTCCATCATCCATAAATACAACGTATTGAAACAGAATATGGATGACACTTTTGAATAAGATTTTGGTGGTTGGGCTACAACAGTCAGCTTGGGGTTGTTTGTTCTAATGGGTACAGGGGTTTTCAACCAAGGGCTCATGACCATCCTGCCCTTCTCATATTGCTAAATGCGAGGCAGATTTCCAGTTGTATGTGAGGGTGGCCCAAGTATGGGACACATTGTGAACTTCTGTAATAAGGTACATATTTCTGTCAAATTTAGATTTCAAGTACCCCCTCCTACCTTCAAGGTAGTCTAATTAAATATTGCTTTTTCTACAGGTTAATAATGAAATGTTTTTTAAAACACCTTCTGTCTCTTCAATCAAAAATGCATTGTCATCTATAAGTAGAAAGGAGGGTGCTCTAAGATCACACTTAACAGAAGCCTTAAACATTTCTGTTACAAGATCTATAAACACTTCAAATAATAGATTAGTATCTTCACCTCATTTGGATCCTGAAAACAGGTTAGTGAATAAGTGCAAAGTAGCTTTCCATTCATCTCAGGAATAAATAATTTGCAGATGAAAATAATTATGGTGTTTGTAATATGTCAATCGCCAGGCTGTGACAGCCATAATAATGATTGATGTGTTATCTGAGCTATTATGATAGCTGTCAGACATTAGATCAAATGCTTTCTGAAGAGTGAAAGCAAATGTAGGGAGCATTTTACTAACAAGGAGGAAGATTGATTACCTATTTCTCTTAGTCAGGAAAGACTGATTTGTGTTAGCTGTCTTTCCAGTATATTTTTCCAAACAAGCTTCCATTGTAGGTAACCTTTCATTATATTGTCACTTCTTGGCCCAAAGTTTATTAGTCTGTTTCATGATATAGTGTGAAAACAAGTCAATTGCTAGGTTACTATAAAAATAATGGTTGATATGTACCCTGACTGACTAGTGATACGTAGTTTTTTCTTAGCATAACATTCTTTCTAGTCAGAGCCTCTCTGCTGACATCTGTTCTATTCAAGAACACCTTTCTCTCGACTTGGCCTGTCTTTCTGCTAATTACCTCTAATTCTGAATTAGTTAACTAAAGATGTTGTTGCTTCCATTGTCCCAAATAGCCTTGGATGAATCCTTTTGATTCAGTCCAGCCATGAAACTTGATCTCTTCTAATGTTCTTAACAGTACCAAGCACAACCAACAGTCTCACTATATTAGATAAGCAGAAAGACATCCTCTCTTATTCACTGTGTATAGCGTCAGTTCACTCAATGTCCAGTTTTCAGGAGCACTCCAAAATGGTAGGATTCATGACTCCTAAAGTTGACCTCAAAATTTAGAAATTAAAAAGTGCAGATGATTGTCTAGAATCACCAGTGCAGTCCAACAAATGTGTACTTTATTTTCATAAGCACTGTTCACACAAACTTTGAAATTATACAGTTAGGAAACTAGAAATTATTTTGAATAATGTAGTAGTTTGCACTAGCTGATTATTTCATTTCTGCCCTCCCCAGCCTTAAACGGAAGATTTCTGGTTGTTCACCTATTACTTCAAAGACACCACGATTAAATAACCACACATTTGACAATCACACTGAAGATGACGATGATGAGGACGTCATCATCTTAGAGGAGAGCAGTACTCCAAAGCCTGCAGCAGACTGTGATGTTACAATAGTAAAAACTGAGCATATTAACATGGAACAAGGCAGCATGCAAGAGGAGCCTTGTGGTGCAGCTAGTTCAGAAGATAAATATGAGCAGTGGACTGCATCAACCCAAACTGAGATCCCAAGTTTAGTTGTTAAAAAGGAAGAAGTAGAAGATTATGTAGATATGCAGTTACTCAGATCAACGTTGGAAACAAGCCAAGAAGAAATCATTAATGCTTCTGAGACATCTTCTGTGGATTTTAGCATCAAATTAAATGAACTAAGAAATCAGTTGCAAGTAGCAAACCAAGAAAAAGAAAATTACCGAAAACAGTGTGAAATGTTAACCAACCAGATGAAAATATTAGAGCAGAAGATACTAGAAATGAATGATAACTATGTGAAAAAGGAAATGTGTCATCAGTCAACTGAGACTACTCTTATATTCCCAGATGACAAAGTAGAAAATTTTAAAGAGAAAAGTCCAGAAGAAGTGGCTATTTTATATGAGCAGGCCTTAAAAGAGATGGAAAAGCTAAAGGAACAGTGTAGTACTTTGCTAAATTTAAAAACGGAATGCAGCAAATGTTCTAACAATGAAAATAAAAATGAGGTGGATGAAATTGCTGTGCAACTTGATGATGTCTTCAGACAACTGGACAAATGCAATACTGAGAGAGATCAATATAAAAGTGAGGTATGTTTGTTAATATGGTTTATGGCAAGGTAAAGTGAATATACAGGACCTGTCGTTCTTTTTTTTTTTTTTTTAACTAGCTAGCTACAAAAATATTCACCGAGGCCCTGATCCTATAATGAGCTCCATCCACAGAGCTCCCTATGGCCTCAGTGGGGCTCCTTAAGAGCAAAGAGAACAGCCACATCGAGTACACTGCAGGACCAGGGTCAAAATTTGTGGATGCAATTGCACATACAAATTACCATAATTATCCAGATGCAAATCAGTTAATTGGAAATAAATTAGGATTATCTCATTAGCTGACATCTCCTGTGTATATGCTAGATCTTGATTGTTGTAAATTGCTAGAGATGTGAATATCTTTTTGTTAATTTTTTAGTATATTGTTACCTCTATTTCAAAAATTCAAGTATGAATATTTTTTCAAATAGTTAAATTTAAAAAATTAACATAACAATTCTAGTAAATATATAGATCATGTATTGTGTGTTCAAGTAACACAGCTAATAAAAACGGCTAGAAAAGATACCAAGCATTGAATTGGCAGAGACTTATTCTAACTTCTCGTTAGAAGTGATCCCTCCAAAGTAAGCTTGAGACACCCTGATAGACAAATATACAGGAGTTCTCATTGCTTTTGGGTAGTTGTTTGTCCGTTTTTGTTTCTAAACGGAATAGATACCACTGGAGACTACATCTGCCATCTTTTAACTTCACTTCGACTCCTTTTCCCATTTACATGGGGTCGGAGGTGTCTGATTTTTCACTACTCCTTCCAGTCCATGGCACAGGTTTGTAGGTTTTGGAGCTCCAGTCCTTTTTTCTTCAAACTTCTCTTGAGTCTTTCCATCGTGTCCTCTGTCTTCCATGTCCTTTCTTGCTGTCCTCTTTCTCCCATGCTTTCTTTGCTATCACTGAGAGTCCCAAATTCATCTTCCCCCTAATTTATTCCATGTGCACTCTGTTTACTCTCCGCTTGCCTGCCATTCTCTTCAGTATATTATTTTCTGTTATCCACTGTTGCCAAATCAGAGCAGGCAGGGACAGACAAATGCAGTGAATACTCTTCCTTTCAGTTTGTGAATTAATTGCAAGTTCCACAGTACTCCTGCCTTTTTCACTGCCATCCATGCACATTGTGGGGTTCTTTTCAGTTCTCCAGATCTTGGTCCAGTGGCATGAAATATACTTCCCAAGCATATAGATTCTTTCTTCTCTCCAGAAACTTCAGTCAACAGCTCTTCTGTCACTCTTCCTTACTTGCATAATTGCAGTCTTTTGTGTTTACCTTCAAACTATGATCTTCAAACACAGATGCCTACTCTGATACAGTATTTACCAGTTCCTCTTTGCTGTCAGCCAAAAGGGCCAGATGGTCAGCATAGATTACCTTTCTCTCTCTCCACAGGTTTGGTTCTCCTATTACTTAACTCCATAACTAGGATGAAGAAAAGTGGACTCAGCACACTGCTTTGTCTGACTCCCACTGCTGCCTCAGAACTCTCTGAAATTCCGTGGATTGTTACCACCTTAGCTCTTGACCCTCAATAAAGTTCCTCTATCCTATCCATTTCTGAAGTCCTGTCCTATCGATTTCAATACTGCAAACAATGCAGAATCAAGTCATATGCTTTGTCAATAAATGCTACATAGCAGTTACGCCCTCCATTTATAATTCTTGCAAACTTCTGTCTCATCGTAAATATAATGTCTGTAGTATTCCTTCCCTTCTTAAATCTCTTCTCCTATGTTTTCCTCCACCTTGCACCAAAACCTTACCTCCAAAACTCTTTCAAGGACTTTGAGTCTGATTTAACCGAGTGATGCCCAATAAGTATTTGGATCATTTGCATCACGCATGCCCTCCCAGAGAGGCACAATCTATCCCATTCTCCAGTTAAGTGGGATCCCAGCAAACACATAGTAATGTATGAAGCGAGTATCTGCAATTGCCTTGATCATATCAACAGTTATCTCATCTTCACTTGCTGGCTTACCGTTCATCTTATTCAGAGCTTTTACCTCCTCTACAGAGATCAATACCTCTTTGTGGCTTTTCCATGATTGCAAGAATTGTTGCAATTCTCTTCTTGTTTAACAGCCTTATGGAAAAAATATTTCCAATCTCTACTACACCTTTAGGGTTAGTCATCACACAGTTCCCATCCTTCATGCAGAAAGCTCTATCTTTTGTGTTTCATTTGTTCCTCTCTTTTGCCAACCCGTCTGATGAAGTGGGTATTCACCCATGAAAGCTTATGCTCCAATACATCTGTTAGTCTACAAGGTGCCACAGGAGTCTTTGTTGCTTTTTACAGATCCAGACTAACACGGCTACCCCTCTGATACTTTCTTGACATCATCTTCCTCCAGCTTTCTGTATAATTCCTCTTCAGCCTCCATTCTCGCCTTAGCAACTGCCTTTTTTGCATGTTGTGTGCTTTTTTTATTCTCATCACAACCTGCTTTCTCAAACTCTTTAAATAATTATTTGTTTTTAATTACTTGTTATCCAAAAGTACCTTATCTTAACATTCATTCTGCCACATTACCTTCACTGCCTTAATGAAATGGGCAGGGATGGTGTCTGTAACCTCTGTTTGCCAGAAGCTGGGAATGGGCAACAGGGGATGGATCACTTGATTACCTATTCTGTTCATTCCTGCAGGGACACCTGGATTTGGCCACTGTCTGAGGACCGGATACTGGGCTAAATGGACCTTTGGTCTGACCCAGTATGGCTGTTCTTATGTTCTTAAACTTCCTTAATTCTCCCTCCACTTACTTCACTGTCTTTGGCAAAGCATGAAAACCTTCCTTTACTGTTTGGCAAACTTCCTTTCTGCCCCCTGACATAACTTAACTACCAGTGCAATTTCTTCCTCAATTTCATTGTCTTTCCTGTGTTCTCAGGTTATACATGTTAGCTATTAATACTTGTTATACTGAGTGAATATGTAGCAGAACAACCTTTGTCCTTCACCATTTTCATATGTTCTCTTACCAAAATATAATCTACCTGGGCTTTGCTTTTTCCACTATAATATATCCTCATATGGGATTATTTTTTTTTAAACATTATTCACCGCTGAACTCCCATTAAACACCACTTAACCCAGTTCTCTCCTTCTGTATTTCTTTTACCAAAGCCAAATTTACCCACCACTCCTTCTGTTGGGCTCCCTTCACCAACATGATTGCTGGTCACTAACAAGGTGTCACTCTCAACCATAACCACCAACTTTTCAGCTCATTTCTAAAGTTCTTCCTCTCTTCCATAGGTCTGCCTGATTGAGGAGCAAACTTTGACATCAAACAACCCTATTCTCTCTCATCAACCATACTGTCAGTCATTTTCCTCTTCTTTCTATCCTTTGACATCAGTGATCTGAGTTCATGATGAAAGCTACCCCATTCATTTTCTTTTTTTCTCAAAACTAAAAAATCCATCTTTCAAGATTATACTTCTGCCTCTACACCATGTAGTTTCCTGCAGATATTGTATATGGATTTTCTTTCTAGTCATTGCCTCTACCACCTCTCCTGACCTACCCCTAAGTGAACCTACATTCCAAGTTGCTATTCTAAGGACTTTGCCAATTTGTCGCTGTTGCCTGGAAAAGAGTGTCGGTTACATGTTTTAAATACTTGCATTTAAAGAACACACCAAGAGCCTAGGAGCTAAGTAGCCCACTCATGGCTGACCCTGCTGTGGTTTTAATTTGGAGTTGACCTTCTCCTAGATCAGCTGCCATCCAAAGCTTCTGACGCCCAATCTGGCATCTTTTGTGAGGAGTAAAATTTTCATTTTGGAGAGAAACCATTTATTTAAAAAAAAAAAAACTATTCTAAACAAAATTGCTGTGTGTGTTATGGAAATTGATCAGTTTGGGTAATTTGTCTCCATCTTTTTCAAAACATTTTTTAGAGGAGAGTATCTATACTCTGCCATTACTTTTTGCTCACCAAGAATTAGCTAAAACCAAGAAAGTGACAGCTAATTTTAGAAACGAACAGGTTTTATTTTTGGAATTCACACAGGATGGATAACTTAGTTTTTAAAAGATCAGTTCTTTAAATGTTGCTAGTTATTTCCCTATCTTATAATATTAAATTGCTAATGTGGATGTTTTGTATGTTTCTTTGGCTTTCTAATTGTTCATAGAATTTCAAATTTTATAGACTGCACCCTTCCAAGTTTCATACTTAACTTTTTCAGCATAGATGAGCATTTTAAGAGCCTCATTAATAGCCTTAATCTGAAAACAACACACACAGATACAGAATTGATAAGTAAATTGCCCATGTTGTGTTTGTACTCAACTCCACTTTTTGATATATTGAACTTCCACAAGTCAAGAAAGCTGAAATGCTTTGACCAGTCTATACTCAACCATCAGGGTTTGCAGTGTGAAATCAATGGAACTTGTGCTCCTAAATATGTTAAGTGCTTTTGAAAATCCAACTGTTAGGTGCCTAAATTAGCTTTAAGTGCCTAACTTTAGGCTTCTGTTTTTGAAAATTTTGGCATATGTAAAGTATGTTCACTAATGTATTGAAGGTCTTAACTTCTGATTGTGAATATTGAAGCAATTTGTTTTGAATGGAAAGATTTTATGGCACTAAGACTTTTTAATAACTACAATTTTAACCTGTGATACCACAAACACTTGTGTACACTCATGTTGGTTTCAAGCAGATGAGTAGTCACATTGAAGAAAATCTGATATTAATGTGAGCAGAATTACGTATCTGCTTAAGTGTTTGCAGGATCATGGTTTTAATTTTCAATATTTTGTTTTCCTGTAGCATTTTTCTAAAATATAGATATGATACCCAACCAGTAGTGACATTTTTAGAAAGCATAATTTAGTTAATTTTAATTTATTGCAGTAAAACAAATTTCCAGATTAGTTTTTTAAAGCATCAGTAAACTTTTAAAAATCAAGTGATTTGATTATTAGTTAAGCCAATAATTTAAATCGCCTTATTTTTAAATTACTCCACCTTCACTTCAGAAGTATAAAATTAACTTACTTTGATTTACCTGTCTCAGATTGAACTGCTGGAAATGGAAAAAACTCAAATTGGTTTTCAGTGCGAAGAGCTTAAAAGAGAAGTTGCACAGTTAAAAGCTACAATTCCTCAAGTGGTAGCATGTGCAAATGATTCTACAACCAGTAACATTGAAGATCCTGTCAGTTATTCTGATGAAGAAAGGTATCGCTTTTCTTTCTTTTAGACCAGAAATTTGCCTGGAATAGCCTATCGGGCTTGTACCTTAAAACCCTGTCAAAGTTCATGATTGATTCTGTAATCTTTTGTGGCTTTCTGAATCTTCACTGCCCCTTCTTTTCCCTGCTAATGTTCACAATTTA